CTGTTGGAAATTTCAAATACCATAGAAACAGCCACAAAATATTCATATACACATTTTGCCTTCGGTATACATGCTGCATACTACGAAAACATAAATAGTATGATGAATAGTATGCTTTCAAAGAAATATAAGATTAACATTTTAATTCAAATCTCCTGTTGACTTACACTGGTAGCATGTTCAGCATTCAAAACATAGCCTAACCACTGTCTATGATGATATTTGCATACTGAATTCTACTTGCATGCACAGATCACCTCAGCTTACCTAACATTTTATCACTGTTCTTTTGCTGCCTTTTGAGCACAGCTTGTTCCTTCTGGAAATACTAATCTTGTTATTATTGTCATTATCTGAATACTCTGGCCACACTGTAAACACAGAGGCTAATAAAGCCCTGACAGACCCCAGGCAGTTCAATTAACAGTGCTTTGCTATAGCATTCCTCTGTTTAATAGGAGAGAGCAGTGGAAATGGCTGTGGGGAGAGTTTATAGTCACTCATACTTTTGTCTGTTTTCACTGATGTGATTCTTGTTAAATGTGGATCAGAAATATTCCCCTATTTCAGCACAATTTCTCTCTGTCCCTCACTCTCTTCCCCCTATTTGAGCTAAAAATTATGACTGTTTCCCTCTTGCGGAATTAAATATAGAGTGCCAAAAAGCTCAGAAGAGTGTTTAGATGGTTATTTTTCTCACACATTCTTCATGCTGAGGAAGGAAAAAACTCTCTTACATTCATTCTCACTCTCTTGATTTCCTTTTATCTTTTTGGTGGCGCTGATTTTCCTCTGGCAGGACACAGAAGCACAAAGAGAGAGGTTTGCCTTCGTTCTGGTCCACACGTGGCTTCACAGTCTCTCTCTGCAGTGTGTTGGTTGTGTAATGATGAACTGCTGGTTGGTTGTGTGGTGCTATAGGTCAGATATCAGTGCAAACAGATCAAAAAGCGTGTTACTGTCTCGTGGATTGAGATGGTGATTTTAGAACAGCTGGATCTCACATGGCTCAGAACTGGACTTAACTCAGTTAAAAGTCAACTATATAATTAGGGCTGTTGATTTAAAGCATTAATTTTGTGTGAGTAATAATTTGACAAAAATACTCCATCTGGCCCATATGTAAATTCTATAATAAGTAATTTTCCTTCTATTGCCCCCAGTTCAAGCTTAATGTACCACCTTTTAGATATCAGACTGCATATATACATAAACTAACAACTAACAAGTCTTGTGGGTAACACTTTCTATAAAGCCCATTTTTATAACACATTATAAGGGTATTCATGCATAATGCATTATATATATATATATATATATATATATATATATACACTAATGCATGATAAAACTTACTTATTTGTGGTTATAACTTTTATGAGTAGGATTATTTATAACACGCAATAAACACCATGTTAAATCCACTTAATTTATAATGGATTACAAGTCTCATATCTTGACATTATTTATTTAAGATCTGTACAGTATCTTACTATCTTACTGATATTGCAATAAATATAGTTAAAATCAAATGTGCCATATTACACATTCATCTGATAAGATATCTGATCTTATGGCTGTTGAAGAAAAAATATTATTTTTATTATTATTATTATTGATGTCATTGTTGTTGTTATTATTTATAAGTGGTCTTTGTCTACTTTAAGTAAAGTAACAAGTTAACAATGGCGAGATATGAGACTTATAATACATTATAACTATGGGAAATATAATCCATTGTAAGTTAAGTGGATGCATTGTGTTCATTGTCTGTTATAAATCATCATAATCTTAAAAGCTGTAACCACAAATAAGTAAATATTATAATGCATTAAAACTGTTATGATTACTCATGAGATGATACAACATATTAAGTTTTTTTAATACTACATTATGCATTCATTATAATGCCTTAAGAATACTCTTATAATGTATTATAAATACGGGCTTCATAGAAAGTGTTACTGTCTTGCGTAAAAGACCCCAAAACTAAATTACTAAACAGATGCAAGAAATTAGTCAACAGGCTACTGTAAAACTTATATTCTTATTATCTCACTATTTTTATAGCACGTTTAAAGGTGATTCACAGTTTTACTCAGAATTTTAGTGTTAAAGTGCGAATGATTGAAATATTTTGTAAAGTCGTTTGCGTGAATGACAAATGTGGTACATTCACCGGAAAAGGCATTCAGCCAATTGTATTGCAATTTAACAGGTTCCATTTGTGAAAGTGGATGCTGTCGGTGTGCCAGACTGCATTGGTTCAGGTCTGCTGACACAACAAACACACACCCACGCTAACCCATCGCATTTCTCCAGAAAGAGAATCTAAAGGTGGACACATGTCCCTGGAAGTAGATCAAGACCTTTTATTACTAAAACACACACCCTGACCCAATGCAAAACATTTCAGCAGTATCCGCCGAAAACTGCTGGGTTTTGGAAAAACAGACATTCCAAACAGTGTCTGCTTTTTTGAATTCCCTACAGACTTATATTGACACACAGACTCAACACAAATAACCTGAGTACACCCAGTACTCCCACTTAAGTATGACTTTACATATCATGTAAAAATGTACTCTCTTTAAGTACACTTAAGTAACCTTTTATTTCATTATTATATTATCTGCAAGTAGCTTTTAAAAATATACTTTAAATGTTTGAAGCACACTACAAGTCACAAGGGAAGACAGTAAAAATCACGTGAATTATTTTGCTATACTCTATATTTAGTTTTCCTGTGCTGATCTGAGAGAGAACAGCCCAGCCCAGCCAAAGGAAAGAAAACCATATTTGAGATCTCTGATGCCTGTTTCACACCATACACAAAAGCAGTGTGTAAGTAAAGCAGCAGGCTAGCATTGTTCTTTCGAACAACATCTTCAGCTCTACAATTCTGAGATCTCCTTTAAGAGTAATGAAATACCCTCTGAGCTGTAGATGTTTCATCTTGCAGAGTCACATGTGGCTTTGCATTGTAATGTCTCTAATCAGCTCTGCAGTTACTCATCATGAGGAGAGCATGTGTATGTGAGAAAAAATGTACTGTATGTGTGTTGGGTTGGACGGAAACGTCTGGCCGCTATTCCACTGCTAAACTTGCTCCTCATCCTTTATGAATCTAAGGCAAACTAGTCTGCAGCGGAGTACTGCTATCTGCCATACTTTACTGGGACTGTACAGAATCTTTCCACCACTGCAGTCCAGGCACCTTAAATGAAGTTTTTAATCAATGAGTAGGCCCATCTAATCTTCTAATTAATCACCAGAGCATACAAGCAGCAATTTACATTACAGTGTCAGTTGTTCCTGCATCTTTCCACCTCCTCATCTCCACCTCTACAGTGTCTTGCCTTGTATAATCAACTCAGTGCATTAGTAGTCCCTTGGGGGAATATAAGAGCTTGAACTCCAGTATCCTCCAGTGCAGATAGAAATCTAAACACATTTAACCATTCATCCATTCTCCAAACTGCTTGTTCTATGTAGGGGCACAGAGATGCTGGAGCCCATCTCAATGCCTTTTGCCACAGGCAAGAAAACACCTTGGATGGATGGCCAGTCCATCACAGGGATAAAAACATGTTTAACCTTTACAGCTCAGTGAGTAGATAGCCGTCAGAACTGATGAAACTGCAATTTAAAATGTTAAAATTGCACTTAACTATACTGCAACTAGACATCTGGATGTGTGTTTGGTTATAACAGTCTTCTCCATCATTTGACAAATTACTGCTGCTGGTTTCCAGTCCAAGAAGGCATATGAAAAAACCTGCATGTCCTTGTTCTCTGAAGTTATGTTGACCAACCAATCAGACTGTAACTGTCGATTTCCACCAGAACGTGCCATTTTTTGCCAATGGATTTGGGCGGTCTGTGGCCATGTCTTCTGAGGCTGAAGCTGGAGGCAAACTGGTGGATTATTCAGCCAAGAAGATGGAAAGAAAATAAACAGCAGGGTTGATCAGCCAATGGAATACCAGAAACATGAAAGAGCATCTCCCCCTCCAGTCCATAACTCCAGAAATCTTTTGAGTGAGACCTTCAGCCAGACCTCACAGTAGCTGAAGAACTCAAGCTTTCCCTCAGAGGGCCACAGAACTGAGACAGTCTGTCAGACGCCCCACCAACGTAATGACTTACACATACAACTTACATTACCACATTTACGCTTCGTCAGCAATGGAGTCCTGCAGTTAAAGGAATAGTTCTGCCAAATGTGAAAATTTGGTCATTAGTTCAGTTAAATTCAGTTCAATTCTTTCACCTCAAGGGATATGTGGGATTCTGTGTGTGATGAGTCTCTATGCTAAATATTTAAAAAAACTGCAAAATTTTGGTAGTAGTTGATTATAAGAATACCAACTTCATTTAGAAGTTCTCAGTTATGTATCTTTAACGGCTGTTATCATTATTACATGAACATATATACATAGCATACAGTAGCTAACATCATTTGGTCTTGGAAGGTTTTGGTTTTTATCTTGGCAATTCTGAGCACAGTTTGAAAGCTTGCTGCAATCTCTTTTGAAACTCTAGAAGATACTCAGCAGGAGAATCTGCCTGTAAGTCTTTTTACAACTCCTTCAGTGAGATCACACTTCGTGACCACAAGGTTGTTTCAGATTTGTCTGCCAGTTTGTATCATAAGCAGTTCAAGTCTGTGAACCTTGCCAGCAATAAACCAAAAAAAAATGTGGCTGTTCAGTTTTCCACTGCCCTTGCATTCAGCCAGCTCAAATATCACAGATTAACTTCTCCTCAGAGAGCAGAACCTCAGACACAAAGCTCTGAAGAGATGCCACAAGCACTTGGCGGATGGGCGACCTGTCACAGGCTGTCACGCCGGGCGAGGAAGATGAGTACGATGATGAATGTTAAATGTGTTAATGAGAAAAGTAGCCGCACGTGCCTGTGCTCGCCTGCACCACCAGACAGCTGTGAATAGAGTTTGAGAAACAAAAAAGACGAGAATGAGAGGACTGATCCCTTACCTGGAGAGATCTCTCCTTCACTCTGATCCCCAGAATCTGAGTCCATCTCTCCACGAAGAACCTCTCCACTCTTCTCCTATTTTCTTCTCACCACTTCCTCTGTTTCTGTCTGTCTCTGTGCTGTCTCTCTGCACTGAAAACTGTTTTCTTGAGCTTAAATACACCAGCTCTCTGTGTTCAGAATATAACTGACTCGATGAGTGCGCGCTGTTTGCCGAGCGCCTTTTCTGTGCAGTCAGACTGCCTCTTTTCACTGACATTCACTTGCTTCCACTTTCTCCTCTCGTTTGCTTCCGTCCCCTCCCTCTCTCTCTCTCCCTCTCTCTCTCTCTCTCTCTTTCTGTGCCCCTCCTCCCCCTTCTCCCCTCAGCTCGACATTGTGATGCCTACAAAAACATTAAGAAGAGGAAAACTCTGCCTCTCCCTCTGAGTTGATTTCTTGCCTGTTCGGAATGTTTTGTATGTTGAAGAGGTTTTTTTTTCATTCAGACATATTGCTGGGTGCTATTTTAGGGGAAACTTCAGTTTTTAATGTTAGAAAATGCGGTTACACTTTATTTTTAAGGTGTCCTTGTTACAGTGTAATTATACATTTAAGTACTGAGTAATATTAATTAACTACATGTACATACTATATGGTTAGGGTTAGGATTAGGGTTTGGTTTAGGGTTACTTGCATGTAATTATGCATGATTAATTGTTATTACAATAGTAAGTACATGTAACATGTGTAACAAGGACACCTTATGCTTTTCAGATGGACAAGTGAATGAGAATTGAGGTGTTGAAAGTGCTGTATTAGGTTGACTTTGCCAGATCATCCAGCTCAAAAATAACAGAGAAACAAAGTGACTAGGTGCCATCAACAGGTCAATGCTAGTTTAGCTGGTTAGTGTGGTTTAGTTAGCCCCTGCTGGTAGATGATGTAACTGCATCATTATCAGGGGAAAAAGCATATTTCTCTTTTGACGGTCATTTGAAGTAGCTGCATATTGTGATGAAATAATGCATTTTTTTCATTATTTAAAATTGATTTTGTACCATGTTTGGATTGTTTTCCCCTGTCTCCTGCCTTTGATACAGCTCTGTATAGTCGCTAGATAAGGGTTTGGAATTGTGTGCATTCTTGCTGTGCTGTGCAGTTAGTGTCATAATGCCATTTTCCTGCAGCTTTAGATTGATTAGTCATAAATCATAAGCCTTAATTTAGATAGATTTTTGTCTTTTGTCCCTTCAAAAGTGATAAGTACAGATTATTTCATAAGTATAACCAAAATCTTAGAGGCTATATTCATGCACGTACATCTCATCTACTTGAATGAAAAGAACAAAATAATTTGTCTAAATTATATTTCAATAAAATATTTTAAACCAGGTATAAAATCTGACTCCAATCAGTGTTCGCTTTAAAGGGAGATGCGAGGGGATGACACGCCTCTTGTTGGAAAAAAAAAATGGCCGAAAGCATCCCCTCTGTAAAACCATCCAATTTTGATTAATAGTGTACTGTTTTGTATAAAACATCTAATGCAAATATTTATCATTTTACATACATTTAATGGCTATTGGCCAATTATATCTCAATATTCCAATAAGCTGAATGCAGTCACCAAGGTACATGCATATGCAAATGTATCTGTGAAAAAAAGTCAGGTTTTAGTCCCTAAAGTTTTGAGCAAGGAATCTGCAATGAGCGACAACAATTCAAACAACGAAGAGAGAGAAATGATAACAAACAGAAATCATCACTCTCTCTTAATCTTTAAGGTGTCCTTGTTACAGTGTAATTATACATTTAAGTACTGAGTAATATTAATTAACTACATGTACATACTATATGGTTAGGGTTAGGATTAGGGTTTGGTTTAGGGTTACTTGCATGTAATTATGCATGATTAATTGTTATTACAATAGTAAGTACATGTAACATGTGTAACAAGGACACCTTATGCTTTTCAGATGGACAAGTGAATGAGAATTGAGGTGTTGAAAGTGCTGTATTAGGTTGACTTTGCCAGATCATCCAGCTCAAAAATAACAGAGAAACAAAGTGACTAGGTGCCATCAACAGGTCAATGCTAGTTTAGCTGGTTAGTGTGGTTTAGTTAGCCCCTGCTGGTAGATGATGTAACTGCATCATTATCAGGGGAAAAAGCATATTTCTCTTTTGACGGTCATTTGAAGTAGCTGCATATTGTGATGAAATAATGCATTTTTTTCATTATTTAAAATTGATTTTGTACCATGTTTGGATTGTTTTCCCCTGTCTCCTGCCTTTGATACAGCTCTGTATAGTCGCTAGATAAGGGTTTGGAATTGTGTGCATTCTTGCTGTGCTGTGCAGTTAGTGTCATAATGCCATTTTCCTGCAGCTTTAGATTGATTAGTCATAAATCATAAGCCTTAATTTAGATAGATTTTTGTCTTTTGTCCCTTCAAAAGTGATAAGTACAGATTATTTCATAAGTATAACCAAAATCTTAGAGGCTATATTCATGCACGTACATCTCATCTACTTGAATGAAAAGAACAAAATAATTTGTCTAAATTATATTTCAATAAAATATTTTAAACCAGGTATAAAATCTGACTCCAATCAGTGTTCGCTTTAAAGGGAGATACGAGGGGATGACACGCCTCTTGTTGGGAAAAAAAAATGGCCAAAAGCATCCCCTCTGTAAAACCATCCAATTTTGATTAATAGTGTACTGTTTTGTATAAAACATCTAATGCAAATATTTATCATTTTACATACATTTAATGGCTATTGGCCAATTATATCTCAATATTCCAATAAGCTGAATGCAGTCACCAAGGTACATGCATATGCAAATGTATCTGTGAAAAAAAGTCAGGTTTTAGTCCCTAAAGTTCTAAAGAATCTGCAATGAGCGACAACAATTCAAACAACGAAGAGAGAGAAATGATAACCAACAGAAATGATCACTCTCTCTTAATCATCCACTGTGAAAGCTTTGGAGCGCAGAAAAGTATGGGGCTCAAAAATAATGGTTATTCGGAACTCACTTTTAGAGTTATTTTTATTAAGAATGACTAGAAGAATTGGAATGACTTTAGAGGCAGTAATGATTAGACTATATAAACGTTTCCCAAAGTGCCCTCCGATGACATTAATCAGGTTGTTTGGTACACAGGGAGTGTGTGTAAGAGAGAGTCTGGTGCTTAGTCATATGAGACTACAATCACTTAAGTACATCTTTCATTTCAAAATCACTTCTATTATATTTGAAATATGGTTGAAGTGTATGCTGTCGAATCTACTGACAAGCATTTATGGTAAACTAAAATGTCATTTATAATGAAACTTGTATGTCATGTATTTATATATATATATGTGTGTGTGTGTGTGTGTGTGTGTGTGTTTTGACATTTTTAATTAATTAATTTTAATTGCAATTACATTTAAACATTTTTAAAAATGAAGTTGCAATTTAATACATTTAATACATTTATTATATGTTTTTTTATTTCTTTTTATTGCATTGTAACACTTTAACAATACACATGTACAAATAAATTTCCATGTAACAGAGAAAACAAACACACACACACACACACACAATAATAATAATAATAAAAAAAGGCTTCTCAGTATTTTACATTAATATACAATATCACCTCTTTTTTTAGTCTTCTATCAACACATTTCCAACGCCACCACATTTTAAAAACAATTTGAAAGGTCCCCAAACTCCATCATACATTTATTATATGTTAACTTTAAATGTAAAAAAAAAAAAACTTTGCATGTGCTTTAGTATGTTAGTCAACACATTAAAATGAGTTGAAATGTATTTAAAAGCATGACAAATGATTAATAAAATGACGTAAATGTACTTCAGACTGGCCCATATGATGTGTAAACGCAAGTTTATTTTTTTATCTTTAAGGCTGGACTACAACCTCCATATATAGCATTACATTTTCTCCCATTCATATATCTACAAGTAGACCATCTTTTGGTCTCAAATATGCAAGTGATTCAAGTACATTTGTCTACTGAAAACTCCGCCCACATGAAACATTGGTCCAACAATCCTGTTCTACATTACTGCAAATTAAAGTAAAATATGTTCTGATTGTCGTGAAACTTGCAGAATTTAGTTTTCTTTAGAAGCTTGTCTCTGTCTGTCTGTCTGTCTTTCTGTCTCTGTCTGTGCAGCTGTCGTTGTGTCTGTCCCGTGATCTGTTTGTCCTTCAGGAGTTTCTGATAGCTCGTGGCTCTCAGCAGGGTCAGTGTGGTGGCAGATGGCGTGGAGGTGCCTCAGGCTGAGGGTGTGTGTGGTCAGCTGTCACATCTTAATAGACAGATGGTCATGAACTTTCTCTCTTTGAGTCCAATTTATGTCCCAGTTCAGTCCAGTGAAGCAGTCAATCGACTCGACCCATACACGCTAAAGTTCAGTTTAAGACTGATGGTAAAAAAATTCATAGGCAAAGGTGCTGTACTTTTTGTCCAATCACAGCTGACTCTTCATCATTCATGGCCTTTTCTTTTATTTGGTGGAACATGTTTTAGTCCCTGTTAGGTTTTCAAGGTTACAAATGTGTTGGCTATATTCTCAGTGATTGATATTTGCCCTTTTGTGTTTGCAAAAGTTTATTCTGGTTGTTTTTCTACCTTCCACAAAAAGGTAAAGTATTTTTTTTGCCATGTAAACCTCTATTGTTGATGTCATTTCTTGCCATTAAAACACTGCCACCTTCAGCCCTGGAGTAATATAGTCTGAAACAGTATTATTCTGGGACACTTATAACTGTCTTTCAATTTTGTAATTAGGAATTGTTAACTAATGTCTGCATTTTTTGTTTCTGTCATTCTCTGTGTGTGTGTGTGTGTGTGTGTGTGTA